GAAATTCCCTTGTCACAGCAGCATGTTACGTGAAATAAATAAATACAGATATAAAAAAGTATGGTAAAGTGGTAAAGCTATGGTATGTTGGTAATTTGAAGAACAGAAACTACAAAATTGATCAGGTGTTGTAGAGTCTGACACAGCAGGGATGAAAAAAAACTCTCCTTCTTACACCGTGGGTGTAACAGTCTGCTGCTGAAGGAGCTACTCAGGGACCCCACAGTGTCATGTAGGGGGTGCTTGATTCCTTGATCTAAATTAGCTAACTAGTTAGCTTACATTAGCTAACTTGAGGTCCGAGAGCAGAGTGGACAGAGAAGAATAAGGGCATGCCAGGAGTTTTATCACCTGGACATTAAGTAGTCTCAAGTTACAGTCACAGGAAGGGACGGATGAGGTGACAGGAAAACCCGTCACAATAAAAGTCCAGTTAAACCACACAAAATGAACAAGTTCATGTTTAAAGGTCCCCTTTGACCCTACAACGCTCATAAGTGTAACGAAAGGGAGATAGTATGATCAATTTATCAAACACCTCTTGAACAAGCAGAACACAAACTTGTAGATGAATTGTGATGTCTTCAGCCACTCAGCAAACTGCAAACAGCCTCCCCCTGCTGATTTTGACAGAATATTGTTCTTAAATTTAGCTCTTCTGTCAACAGCTAGCCTGCGGGACAACTGGACATAGAGCATGGTGATGCAGATGTGCTTAGTTTGTGTAGAGTACTGCTTGTGGACATGAGCAATGAAATGACATATGACTGTCAGGCTATTGCACTGCCGTCAGGGGGTGCTAGAATGTTGGCAGTCTTAGTGTTAGATAATGCATAACAGATCTTAATGATGCAGCCAAGATGAAGTTTTTGATTTGAATAACTCAATGAAATGTTTAAAAACAGAATGTGTCACAGTCATGCAATGTGGAAAAGGTTCCTTACTCCACAACTGAATACCAAAATATACAAATGAAGGTATTGGCTTAATCAAATTCTGTAGTCAAGTTACAGTTATATAAAATGTTATACCACGGTATTGAGTATTAAACGTCAGTTATAACTAATACTATAACTATAACTAGAAAATTCCTAAAGAAATTTTGAGTGTGCCTGCCTCTGGCCCATATATTAATACCATGTCATTCTCTTTAGCTAGCTAGCGCTAGCATTTTAATACCTTCTAATTCT